TTATTCGCTAAGTTTTGAGAATAAAGAACATTTTGAGTTGTTGTATAGGTGGAACTGAGCTCTTAGAGGTAAGGTAGACGTAAAATATAAAATAAATAAATAAGCTATTTTTCATACGTTTTCGATAATTAAATTTTAATTTGGTCAAATGAAAAGTATGACAAGAATACTTTGTTAGGTTTACCAGCGCAGTTTTCAAGTGTGATGAAGGTATAGGTCACTTGTCTCAGAATCTTTGTCATTCGGGTGTATTATTCTGCATATTCTAATTAAGGATAGAAATCGAGAAACGCTTGGTCAGTTTAAAGGTGTTCGAGTAGAGTCGAGTGGGTTAGTAGAGAAACTGAAGAAATGTATATACTCATTTCTTTTTTGACCTGCTGTTACAAAAGTATAAACCGATCGAGAACCTACGAACTAGTTCATTGTAACCTGACCCAAAATAATTTTTGCTGCAGAGTTATAAACGAAGTTGAAATCAATGCCTCAGGCACAATACAAATTACGTTGCTAAGGTGCATGGACGCAAAGGACAAGCCTGTAGTTAGAGCTGGTGGCCATGTTTAAGTGTTAAGCACATTTGTATTCAGGCTGACCACACCTTTTAACTACGGTATGTAACGTTAATCACGACCCCAGCTGAGATATTTAAGGACAAAAAATAGCTAAATTTCCTCCTATCAACACCTCGGTTGAAGAGATAACTAATATCATGTCTTGTAAAGTCCATTTTGGCAAATGTACACTTTTATATAGGGAAATGTTCAATTGAGTGTCGAAAGTAATCCTGGATTGTTTTTTTTTTTTGCTTTACTTTACTCTGTGATTGGTCCAGAAAACTCGCGCCAGTGTCTCGCGACCTATCGTAAACAGAACTAAACCATTCACGACTTGGTCACTCGCGTTTTCCCGCGCTTTAGGCAGGTTGGCTGTCTTACTTTGAGTTCTCATTGGTTCCGAGAGGCGTTTTCCCGCGCTTTAGGCAGTTTGGCTGTCTTACTTTGAGTTCTCATTGGTTCCGAGAGGCGTTTTCCCGCGCTTTAGGCAGTTTGGCTGTCTTACTTTGAGTTCTCATTGGTTCCGAGAGGCGTTTTCCCGCGCTTTAGGCAGTTTGGCTGTCTTACGTTGAGTTCTCATTGGTTACAAGAGGCGTACGTTTTCCCGCGCTTTAGACAGTTTGGCTGTCTTACTTTGAGTTCTCATTGGTTCCTAAAGGCGTTTTCCTTCTATCTGATTGGTCGTTGTGATTACTCTGGTTTTGGATTTACGACACTTCGTCGAGATGCGCCCGATTTGGACGAGTATCATGCTCATTACTTGCTGAAGGTGCTTCCATCATCTAATTTGTTGGAGTCGGGTCCACTCTGCTGGCACACAGCATTTGAGATACAATAGCATCTAAAAGTTTAGTATTAAATGGCTAAAATTAGATCCCGACTGAGTTTATATCCGTAACGAATTAACAAAGCTTATTTTCGTTCCTTTTAATTTTATATCTTCATTTAGTGCCGTTGAATATTTTTTTGAGACGAGATAAAGCGAAGGAACAGGAATGAACTTTTCTGTTTTCCTTTCAGAACTTCCTGATACCGTGACTATTTTGTTTATTTATTTATTTATTTATTTATTTTTATCATCAGCTTCTGTCTATGTGGTAGTTCTGGTTTTGTTATTATTATCCCATCTTCATCTAGACGCACAAGTGCGATAACTGTTATCTTTGTTAATTACATGTATTTATCTTAGTTTTCTAACTTTACAAATATAATGAAATGTTTATTCGAGATATGCATGTGAATTGGTTGGATCATATTTATGTCAAATTAGTGTAAATAATTCTGTTTGAATTGTGATATTTGTCAGCCATTCAATTTTTCAGCCATTCATAAGGAATCTTTATCAACCTAGTAACTGTTCTTCATTATTTTTTTCATTTATATTTTTATATGCTAGGCTACAGGGCATGTTGCTAAAGCCCGCATAGTCATTCCTCGAGAGGTCTGCATCACACTCTATGACTCCATGGTCATGGTACTTGGTACTTCCACAGTTCGACTTCTGCTGTGTAGTTTGGAGTGGCTGCTGTAAAAGAAATCGGGACCACCTGGACAATTCGCTACTCCGAGCAGCTGGTATTACTCTAACACGTAAAATAGAAAGTACAGGCAGCACATTAGCTGTCCCTCAGAAAATCGTTGGAAATATCATTGTTGCCGTCAATTCTTAAATGCCTGAGTGTTTAAAAGCCTGCCGGTCTCATGCCCACCTATGCTTTGACTGAATTTACTTTTTTATGCCAATCTCATGTCCACATTACCAGTTGTAAAGAACTTTTACGACTACCGTCGCCCAAATCATCTAAATAGCAAGGTTCTTTTCGCTACAACGGCGCAAAGGCGTGGATTACAAAACGTCACAACCTAATTTTAAGAAACTTCTCAAACTTCATTTCTGTAATTAATTAATGTAATAGGTTTTTGAATGAAACGTATATTGTATGTGTAAATTGTAATTTGTGTTGCGGGCTCTTTTCAATATTTTGTTTATCTAAATATATATATTTTTTCATTCTTAATTGTTTTTAAAAGACCCCAAGAGATTTTCTTAATCTCTTGATAGCCCCCATTCAAACTAGCTTACGCCTGAACTGGGCCAGCCTCGTTAAAAATTGCTCGTAAATAAATAAACAGAGGAAGTCTGCAATAAAGAAAGAACTGCAATAAAGAACTGCAATAAAGCTTACCGAGGTGACTGTGCAGGTTATGAACTCAGGCTTTTGATAGGCAAAAATTATGCGGCAATTTAATGTCACTCGACATCAGATCCTTTTAACTTAAACTTAAAAGTTTTGCTCCGTTTTTTTTGTTGTTGTTGTTTAAGGAGCAAAACCCCTTGGTTGCGAGAATCATTACAACAACTTGGGTTGGAAGCCAGCAAAATATGAAACCCAACATGACAACGAACAGTAGCTTGGTGGTGTTCAGTTCCTCACAGTTTGGCCTAATTTCTCCTCGTTGCAATGAACAGGTGACTGTCAAGGAGTGTCGACGGACCACTCTTTGAACCCAGATATAGCACAAAAACATCAGGATAGCCGGACGGTAGAAGAAAACCAATTGCGGCGACTACAAGGGGAATCAAACGAGGAAAACAGGTTCCTGCCTTTGGAATGTAAATGATTTCTCCTCCGCTGGCCGATACATAAAGCTTGCCAAAACACTGTCCTGCCGCCCATAAAACATATCATGACAAATGTTGACCGCTTGGTAAATATCGGATGGATATTTTCTTGGACGCACGATACGAAAATATCGATTTGCTGCTGTAAGCGTCATGGTTTGTAAGGAAATAAAAGCCATGCAGTGAGACTCCAAGGATGCCCTGGAATTTACACATAGTGTCACCCAATGACCATTTGACAGTTATCAAAACAGCACTCGTTAGAGGTATACACAATATGGCCATCAAAATATCTGATATGGCCAAGTTTACAATGTAAGCGTTTGTCAGAGTTCGAAGTCACTGATTTCGATACACAACTGCTAACACCATGGAATTACCGATAACTGCGGTTAACGATATGATAAGAACGAGGAATGATTTAAATACTATGACGGGAAGGGTTCTGGCGTCCACTGTAGGCCGGTAACTGACGATGAACTCGACTCAAATGCAATCGCTCTTTTCAATTTTCATGTTGGCTTTTTTTGACTTGGGCCGCTGCTCATTGATGAATTAACCAGGATATTAAATAGTATGTTTGCTGCTGATTAAAATCCAAAGCACCTGTTTTCCCAACCACGTAGCTTTCAAAATTCTCTCCACTGGATAAGACATTCCTGTTTTCATCTTTTCCTGTTAGAATCTCAGGGGGGTCTCGCATTTGAAGAAGAAGGTTCCTTTCCCCCGTTGCCGTTTCAGTATCCATTGTTTTGTTTTTGTTGTTGTCTAGGCGGTTCAGTAAACCATAGAAATTATAAGCAGCTAAGTAAACATTTGGTATTGAAGTGTAACTTTTGGTAAATATAGTCAATTTTCTTTCAGAGATAACAAGAAATACTAAATTTACAGGTGGAATGGTAAAGACAACGAAAGAAAAGTAAATTTCTGTTGAATTCATCGCTTAAGTAAGGATGGTTGCCCTTTTTATCTCTCTTTCAAAATGGTTTTTTTTTTTGAAAAAAAAAAAAGAAGTTACTTGAGACATTTTTTGTAACTGGAAGAAAAAACACTCAGATATATGGAGTGAAACCCGGAAGAAACTGCAAATGGAAAATAAACAAAAAGAATTTCATGATAAAGCGGCCCACTTAAAGAAGATACATCTCCACAGAATTATCTCTCCAGCAATTTTTCTGTTAAGACGAATTCGTTTCTGAGATTCTTAGTCTAAGAATGACTTAATTAGTCTGGATTTTCCCTTTAGTAAAACGTTTTCATTCCCGAGTTACATCATTTTATGTGTTAAAGAGAAACAGCTCTTGAAGCGGCGATCACATGTGAACCAGGTTTTAATCTCGAAGATGACAACCGCCTTGCGCGTCCTTGGAAGTAGATTTAATGAAGAACGGGCATTTTCAAGTAAAGACTGGTCAATCTATAAATAGTTGTGTTCGAAATTTTTTCACTATCTTTCGCATTTTATCTCTGAGTCTTAGGCTATTTCTTCTTTCGAATTTGTTCGATAGACTTAAGAAAAGAAACGCCTCTATAGTTCTTTCTTTCAACAATGAACACACCAGTGAAAGTAAGAAGTTTAGCGGGGTTCGACTTCACTAGGCAGCTGACCTCTACTCGTTAACAGTTTGATCAGCGACTTCTTTTGATATTAGCAGCGTGATTTTATAGAGATTCGGTTGTTAAAAAGATTTATTGACTACTGAAGCAGTGGCTAGGTTGTAAACGCTCGGAGTGCCAGTGGTGACGAGAGCTGACGAGTGGCGACTGGGCTCGAATGTCATGTGAGAGGAATCTGGATGCTATTCATTTTCCCCAATATGGCGGATCGTGAAAAATAACACTTCTGGGACACTACCCAACGATTGCTCGTATGGTTTTGTTTTTCCCTTTGTGATCCATTCAAAATGATGCAGCAGCGTTTAAATGGGTTGAAAAGCCGCAGTGACGAATCAAGGCTTCAGGCGGCAAAAGATTTGCAGCATTATGTGTCTACGGAACTCCGCGAAGCTTCGGCCGAGCAGTACACGAGTTTTATGGACGAACTTAATCATCACATTTTTGAAATGGTGTCGAGTTCTGATGCGAATGAAAAGAAGGGAGGAATTATGGCAATTGGTGAGTGGTATTATGCTAAGCTTTGTTTTTTTTTTGGCCCTATGGCTCGGTAATTTTGTGGAAAAGTTTTCAAATGCCTTTTAAGACTTGTTACATGTACACAAACAAAATAATACTATTCAGTTCGTGATCATTTGACGATCTTGGACTCAGACTCCAATGGAGACTAAGCAATTTCAATCCGCACCCACCCTACTGAAGGCATGGCATTTCTGAGGGGAATGGGGGAATATCAATATATCAACCTATAACAGTAGGGCTAAAGAGTGGGATTTCTGAGGGGGAGGGAATGGATTGAAAGCATAGAAATCGGGGAGGGGGATAATTGTGCAGACTAAGTTTCCAAGGGGGTTCCCAGATAAATCCCCAAGGGGTATGAAGTACTCTGGGTAGAAATTCCCACAAGTAGTATCTGGAGGGGGTCCAGATACTACTTGGAGTACCCATCTCAAGTTTGGTCTCCCTATACTAAAGAAAAAATTAAGGCCCTTGAGCGTGTTCAAAGGCGTGCCACCAAATTTATCTTGAAATGTGATTTAACTTATCCAGAACGTTTACTAAAATTAGGTCTTTTGCCTCTCGAGTTTAGAAGGGAGGTTTTAGATTTATGTTTCTTTTTTAAATGTCTGAAGGGGCACATTGATTTTGACGTCCTATCATATGTTAGCTTCAAATCATATAAGTACGATATGAGGAACACAGAAGCCATACTTGCCAAGGGTCGCTTTAGAACCGATGTTTTTAAATTCTCATTTTTTAATCGCATTGTGGATTTATGGAATGACCTGCCTGTAGCTATTAGGACAATTGATCGAGTATCATTGTTTAGTAAGAAAGTGAATCAGTTTTATATCAGTAAATTTAACTTAAGTAAGGATAAATTTTTATAATTTTTGATTACGTATTGTTGTTGCTATTTGTCTAAGTTAGTTTTTAATTTTTTTGTATTTTATCACAGGCAGTTTATTTAAAATAAGGAATCTAGAATTCTGTATAAACTGGCCTAATTACTCAGATATCTCTTTTTTATACTTGTATATATATTTAACTCCTTGTTTTTGTTTTTGTTTTGATTATCTGTGTAATTGAATTTGAGTAAATAAATAAATAAATAAANTATCTTGAAATGTGATTTAACTTATCCAGAACGTTTACTAAAATTAGGTCTTTTGCCTCTCGAGTTTAGAAGGGAGGTTTTAGATTTATGTTTCTTTTTTAAATGTCTGAAGGGGCACGTTGATTTTGATTTCCTATCATATGTTAGCTTCAAATCATATAAGTACAATATGAGGAACACAGAAGCCATACTTGCCAAGGGTCGCTTTAGAACCGATGTTTTTAAATTCTCATTTTTTAATCGCATTGTGGATTTATGGAATGACCTGCCTGTAGCTATTAGGACAATTGACCGAGTATCATTGTTTTGTAAGAAAGTGAATCAGTTTTATATCAGTAAATTTAACTTAAGTAAGGATAAATTTTTATAATTTTTGATTACGTATTGTTGCTGCTCTTTGTCTAAGTTAGTTTTTAATTTTTGTGTATTTTATCACAAGCAGTTTATTTAAAATAAGGAATCTAGAATTCTTTATAAACTGGCCTAATTACTCAGATATCTCTTTTTTTATACTTGTATATATTTAACTCCTTGTTTTTGTTTTTGTTTTGATTATCTGTGCAATTGAATTTGAGTAAATAAATAAATAAAAAGAAATTTCTCTTCTGAAGGGACGTTACAAGAAAGCCTCCTATAGTGGGGCCTTAGTTTGAAAATGGAATGGCCACATTGGACAGTTTTTTCTATTCTTTGCTGCTACCCACCCAATTGACCCATTGCTTCTCATTGAGGAAAGGCTATCAAACTTAAATTGTTGCAACCTTCTACAGTAAATATACAAAAACATCATTTATTTGAAATTATATTCATTAATTTTGTTTTAATAGTGGCTCTTATTGGCATTGATAATGGAAATACCACAAAAATGAGCAGGTTTGCCAATTACTTGAGAAACCTGTTGCCGTCAAATGATCAAGTTGTGATGCAGATGGCTTCCAAGGCTATGGGTAGATTAGCACTTACAGGAGGGACATTTACTGCTGATTATGTGGAGTTTGAAGTGAAGAGAGCATTAGAATGGCTAGGAGGTGACAGGAATGAAGGGCGTCGACATGCTGCTGTAAGTATCTATGCCATAATCCAAGCTTTTCAGCAAAAGGGCTTATTCTACACAAGTATGCTATGCTAGTTGCTCATGATGTTTTATTTTACTGTCTCTTTTTGTGATATTTTTTGGTTCAGAGGATGGTAATATTCTTAATTTTTTACAGCTATTCATGGTTTTACTTTTTGAAAACTTTTATCATCATTCTGTTACAGGTGTTGGTCTTGAAGGAACTGGCACTGAATGCTCCAACATTCTTCTTTCAACAAATTCAGCCTTTTTTTGAGAATATTTCAAATGCTGTACGTGATCCAAAGGTAAATCTAGCTGAAGACATTTAGAATTCTGGCCCTGTTTATTCAAAGGGTGGGTAACACCATCCACCGGATGACTCTCTCTCCAGTGAATAGTATAGCACATTTTTTAACACTTTCCACTGAATAGCAATTATCCATTGGATGGCATTATCTACCATTTGAACAAGTGGAGCCTGATCATCATGATTTGTTCTAGTTAATACAAACATTTTAAATTAGAAGTTAGATTCTGTACATTGTAAAGAAATTAATCACAAGTTGATTTTCATTTCATGTTATATTTAAAGCAAGCAATCCGTGAGGGTGCAGTAGAAGCCTTGCAAGCCTGTCTTGTTATCTTGGCTCAGAGAGAAACAAAGGAAATTCAGCAACGTCCCATCTGGTATACTGTGAGTCTTATCAGGAAAATATTTTTTCAATACACATAAATGTACAATGTGAGGAGCACTTTCACTGCTAAACAAATTTCATTGCATATGAAGTGGACTTGATTTATATGCAGGTTGCTAACTCTAGATAATCATTATTCTTACGCAGTGTCAATGCTCTTCCTTATTTTAAGCATGACAGGTAAAAGAAATTTTCAAAACATTAGAGCAATCCTTTTACTAGTAGAATTTTAGAGATTTCAAGCAATTTCAGGTGATAGTAAGAGGTTGTGCAGTTGGTAAATTTTACTGATTACTGCCTGAAAAGGAGAACACTGTAGAGGGATGTCTATTTTGGCCCACCAAGTAGGAGCTTATCACAGTTTCCAAGTAGCATAATGTAACTGGGAGTATTATTACTCCCCCTTGGATGGGATGGCAGTCCATCACTAGGGTTATCTTCCCTCCTTCCCCCCCCCCCCTTGAACCCAGACTTCTCAACCTGAATCCAGTGCACTGACCATTAGGCCACTGACTGCACATTTATTTCTTGGGTAATTGACTTTCTTACGTTACACTGTATAGGCTCCTGTTTTGAAAAGCTTTCACTGTGTATTCTACTTTTAAGCAAATCTATTCTGAGGCAAAGAGAGGCTTTGAGGACACCCTTAATACCAAAGAAAAAGGTGTTGTTCTTACAAAAGATGACAAAGCTCATGGATCTCTGCTTATAATGAATGAATTGATAAGAAGTGCAAGTATTGAAGGAGAGGTTGGTCTGACAACTGTAAATTGTAATTATAGCAGCGCTGTGTGAATCCTGTTTAAGAGATACTTGCAATCATGAAAATAACACTCAAATCCTATGATGCAGTAAATGGCTTGAACCCGGGGGTAATATGTGAAGGTGTAGTCTGATCGTCCGGGTGAGTGTAGTCCTGAGAAGGACTGTTGTTGGTGGTAGTCACTACCACTGACAACAGTCCTTCTCAGGACTACACTCACCCAGACGATCAGACTACACCTTCACAAATCCTATGATATCGACAACCAGTTCTTTTGGATTTTTTTCTTAATCTTTTCAGTTCAAGGTGATGTTCTTACAGTAACTGTAACTGACTGACCCCCAAAAGAGCAACCAGTATCTTTTTTCTTCCCACAATAATTATCACCCCGGAATCAGTTATTAGGGTCTCGATCATCTAGTAAAAAATCTGTTGATTGTTAAACAAAGGAAAAAAGTAAAGTCATTGATAGAAAAACGAAGGAAAACAAAAATACAACAAAATAAAACAAACAAAAAAACAAACTAAATATCATTCTTATATGTACAAATTGTACAAGTTATGTAATTTTTAAATATGCTTATCCTGCCTGAATAAACCCAGAGAGATAAAGGTGTTCAATTTTGTGTTGGTATTGGCTCTGATCAAGAGATTTGAGTCAATTTTTTTTTTTACCATTACAGAGGGCCAAACAGGAATTAGAAGAAATATACTGTGATCAAACCCAAACACAATTTAGTCTGGATGATCTTGGTATTAATTCTCCCAAGAGTAAGTTTGCTCTGCAGACTGGGTACCAGCATCAGAGATCACTGGCTTTACTCGGAGGCGGAGGAATGACAGAAACTATCTGTCACAGTAAAGTTTGTAAAGATTTCATGGATGACCACTTTGAAGAGGTGAATATGTTGCTGCTGTTATTTTTCTTGAGGTGTAGAGTATATTGGTTTGTTGTGTATGTAGCAGTCTGTGCACAAGTTGCTCTATCTAATAAGTGTTAAGCAGTGCTTCTTGTAGCTTGTGGATGGATAAGCATTGCCAAGCTGATTGTGAGATTGTTGGGCAGTTTGCAACAAAGCCTTTTTATAGACATTGTGGAGTAGGGAGAAGGGGGAATCATCTTTGAGAAAACAGTTTGATTGAATCATCACACACTTTAGTACCAAAGAGAGCTGTAAATGAATTCAAACTGAGCATACTCATAATTATTTGCATAGGTGACACACATTACATGTAACTGGGTTCTGCTAACTTTGCTAAACTGTGTGGAGCTAAAAATAGTATGGATCTCTATTTTAATTTACTTTTCCTTAGATATTTTTTTCCTGAATTGTTGGTGTGCATGTTGTTTAGGTGTGTAAACTGGTTCTAAGATACAAGGCAACACGTAACAGCTCTATCCAACAGATGCTACTGACCATTCTCCCTAGACTTGCTGCATTTCAACCAAAACGATTTGTTAAGAAGTAAGTAAAGTGATTGTTGTAATTCTACATTATTTTGCTTGCCTTGTATCATTCTATCTGTAAAGGTTGTGAATTCCCTCTTGGTTGATGAACATGGAGTGTCAATAGCAAATAGGCCATTGTACAGTTGTGTACTTTGTTGCCAAGCCTTTGATTCAGGGTGAGGCTGAAGGTGACCTTGTTGTGATAATGACCTGTATCTATTTAGCATGATAACAAAGTGATTTACATTTGGATCCTTTAGAATCTTTTGAATTTAAGAAACTACTGCTTCACTCTTCCGGATCCATCATATGCATTATCGTTATTTACCGCCCTCTAAGTTCTATCAAGAACAGTCTTACACATGCGCAGCTTTTTTGGATGATTTTTCTTCAATGCCAGAAAGGCTAGTGTCTTCTTCCGGCTGTCTTCTTCTAGCCGGTGACTTCAATTTCCATGTCAATGATCCATCTGACAACACCACCAATAAGTTTCTTGACCTTTTAAGCTGTTTTAATCTAGAAGTCTGTAATGTCCACACCCCGACGCATAAAAACAACAACGTTCTTGACCTCATTATCACAAGATCAGGTGAAGAGACTGTCTTAAATCTATCAGTGAACGACCCTGTTATCTCTGATCACTTCGCTGTTCATTGCACCTTGGCTATTAAGAGACCACCTAAAGCTAAGCTCACCATCACTTTACATAAACTGCATACCATTGATTCAGACAACCTTCGGCATGATGTTCTTTCCTCCACCTTATACAACTCGCCATCCCAGGAAATTACCGAACTCTGCGACCAGTATGACTCGGTTTTACTCTCAATCTTAGACAAGCACGCACCTCTGCGTACATGGATCATCACTTTGCGACCTAATGCTCCCTGGTACAACGATGAAATCAGAAACAGAAATCAACCTGCCGCAAGCTTGAAAAGCGCTGGCAATGCTCCAAACTTGAATCAGACTATCGACCTTACGCTAATCAATGCACTGTTATTCAGAACACCATTTTTAAGTAAAAAATAGACTACTATTCTAATCTTATCTCTGAGGCTGGTAATGACAATAGAGCCCTATTTCATTTAATCGACGTTCTCCTCCACAAGAAAGCAGAGAGAAGTTATCCAACCAGCTCATTGGCTGAAGATCTTGCTAATATATTTGTCACCTTTTTCGAAGATTAAATAACCCATATTAGAAGCATATCTACTCCTCCAGAAATTCTTGATTTCTTTTCTTCACTGGATATTTCCAACACTAATTGTGAGCTCAGCAACTTCTCACCTACTTCCAATTCCAAACTATCGAAGATTGGTCGTTCTGTTGTGCAGAAATCATGCTGTCTGGATCCTCTACCTGCCACGTTACTAAAAGAACACTTTGACCTGCTCTTACCATCTATCTGTAGCATTGTAAACTTGTGGCTGTTATCTGGTCTTCTACCTTCGTTCCTTAAAAATGCTCTTTTAACCCTTCTACTCAAGAAACCGAACCTGGATCATGAAGTTCTTAGTAATTTTAGGCCTATCTCGAACCTCAAGGTTATCTCGAAAGTTATTGAGAAGGTTGTGGCAGCGCATCTTCAAGTCTATCTTGACTCTTACCAACTCACAGAGCAGCTACAATCAGCCTACAAATCATTCCATAGCTGGGAAACTGCCCTTGCACGTGTTCAAACTGATAATTATTTTGCTTGCTATTGACAATCGCCACTGTGTCATGCTCCTGCTACTAGATCTCTCCGCTGCATTTGACACTGTTGACCTTGGAATACTGCTCAAAAGATTGAACTCTAAATTCTCGATATGTGGCACTGCACTTGATTGGTTCCGCTCTTACCTTACAAACTGTGCACAAGTTGTCTTTATCAATGGGAGTAAGTCACAGTCTCGAAAGCTCAAATGTGGAGTACCTCAAGGCTCCGTCCTTGGGCCCATCCTCTACCTACTCTACACTGCTCCACTTGCTGACATTTTACGTTACCATGACATGCAGTTTCATTTCTACGCTGACAACACTCAGTTGTACATTTCTTTTTCTGCCAACGACAATCTGGAATAAACCAGTAGTATTGCTAAAATTGAGAATTTCTTATCTGATCTTGATAAGTGGATGGCCTTGAATAAGCTGAAACTGTCGGTAAACAAAAACAAAACTGAACCTCTCTACCTTGTCTCAAAGTATAACCCTCAACAGTCTCTACCTCCACTTCGTTTTGGTTCTGATAATTATAATTCAGCAGTCCTCATGTTCCAGAAATGTCAGTGTTGTTTTCGATAGTACTTTGGCAATGCTCCCTCATGTCCGATCTGTTTGTAAATCTGCCTTCCATCATCTTTGGAACATTTCCTGTATAAGGAAATTACTATCCACTAAGACCACTGAGACTTTAGTCCATGCCTTTGTAACCTCCAAGTTGGATCACTGCAACTCTCTTCTAATATGGTGTTCCGAAATATGTTATTAAAAAGGTCCAATCAGTGCAGAACGCTGTGGCTCGACTTATTAGCTCCCATAAATTTGACTGCATAACCCCTATTTTATTCGACCTGCACTGGCTTCCAGTTTCTGAGCTAATTAAATTCAAGATAATTCTGCTCACCCCCAAAGCTCTTCACCAGCAGTCTCCTATTTATATTCAAGATCTGATACGTCATTATTCACCTTCAAGAACGCTCCGGTCATCTTCAACATTACACCTGTCTCCTGTCAACTTTAATCTCAAGTCTTACGGCTCTAGATCTTTTGCTGTTTTGGCTCCTGAAATGTTGAACATACTACCTGATGGCATTCGTTCTTGTGACAATTTCAATCTCTTTAAACGTAAACTTAAGACTTGTCTTTTTAAAAATTATTTTAATATGTATGAATTCTCTTCTTATCCATGTCTAGCGTCTAGATCTTAGACACCCGTTTTTTTGTGAATATTTAAATCTCTGTTAACGTTAACTTTAGACTTACTTTTAAAAATTGATTTAATATGATTATTGTATATTTCTATTTTGTAAAGCACTTAGATCAGGTCTGGATAAGTGCTATTTAAGCAGTTCTATTATTATTATTATTATTGAAAGGCAGCAAGGTTTGTATCATAACAAGGTCACCCCTAGCCTCACTTCCGTTCAAAGGCTTGGCAACCAAGCACACAACTGTAAAATGGACTATTGGTATTGAAGTGTGTAATATTTGTAATAAAAGTTCCAATTCTTTGCTAAAAACAGCATAATTTGGTCCAAACAAGTGCATGTTAATGCATGGACATGTACATAGAGTTGTAGGTATTTTGCATGTTATTTATAGATGCTGTAATTATTATTTCATTCTCTAGCCAACTGAATGAATGGAACTCACACTTAACTTTTACGTGGACACTATGTTATTGGTTTGATGACAATTGAAAGTAATTTCAAATAAATTGGTGAGATTTGAGCTTTACTTTCAAATGTTAAAAGATTGTCACAATGATAGTGTGTCTCAAATGAGGAAGAACACATGTTTACCAGTACTCTAAAATAATTTTGATCAGAAATTGATTTTGAATTACATGTTGAACACAAAAATAAATGAGCAGCTGTAATGAATACAACTTGTATAAACGTGGAGTGTACATTCATTACTGAATATCATTTCTTGTTATTCTGCTTAATGTATGTACAGCTTTGGGTGTTTTATTAATTGTATATGAATGATTTTTAGATACCTCAGAGAAACTATGGACCACTTATGTTTCGCTCTTAAAAGAGTAAGTAAAACAATATAACAAAATTGCAGTGTGCTGTACACATGTACTTCTTGAAAATAACAGACTGGAGTACACAACTTGAAGTTGATTTATCATGTCTATCTTAAATTCAGAGTTTTTGAGAAAAAAAATTGAAGCAGGAGATTAATAACAAGAAAAATACCGGTATTCATCCTGATTGAGAAAAAGTTATGGCCATTAAAATTTAGCTAAGGGCTTCTGCTTGGTAAAGTGGTAGATTTTTACTGGTGTACAGAGAATTCTGCCTGTAAGTGGATAATTCTGTCAGGTTATGGGAATTCTCATGAAGTCAAAACAAATTTTTTGTAGTTATTTTCAAATTGGAAATTAATGAATGAACAACAGCCTTAAATTATTTAAGATTGTTACGGTTTTATCAGTAAATATGAAATAATTCCTTGGTACAAATGTGTGTATTTAATAGTTGGCAACAATTAATTTCTCATTTTAAAGGAAAGGGAGCGATCTTCAGCATTCAAAGCAATTGGGTTGATAGCCATTGCTGTACGACAAGACATTGAGAAGCACAGGGGACCTGTGTTTGAGCAAGTGAAAGTCCTTCTTCCTATGAAGGATCTTGGACATAAGTGAGTGAAAAGCTTCTACATGTAGTTTAGTAACTTACACTTGTCTACACTCTCTTCAGTTACAAAGTTTTATACTCATCATTGCTGCATCCAAATGATCTAAATGGAAATCTCAACCCCTGTCCTTGCAATGCCTAGGGAAACATTTACATTTTCATTATATTTGGTGACATTATGCGTATTACCACAGGGAATGAAACTATGGCTAGTTAGAGCTGATTTGTTAATTATTATCATGGTTATCTATTGTTATTATTATTATTGATATGATTACTATTATTATTGTTATTATTATTACCAGTATTTATTTTTTTGTTGCTTCATCTTTCAGTTCTACTATACAAATGCATGGCACATGTTCAGTGCAGCTTACTACAGATATTCACTGAACTCTCATCTTTTTTCAGGCGTCAAAAAGCAGTGACTGTTGATCCAATGGTGTTTGCATGTGTTGCAATGATGTCCAGAGCCATTGGACCAAAAATCTCAAAAGAAGTTAAAGATCTTTTAGAGCCAATGTTATCTGTTGGGCTGAGGTATATACACTGTACAAGTACTACCTGATAGGAATGATGATAATTTTGGTGCATTGAAGAAGATTTTGATTGTGAGAATTTATTTGTCATGTTAATGGAACTCAGGAGTAACACCCTTAATACCAGCGTCCAACTTCTTTCAGTGCGTAAATGTTCACTGCAGGTATCAGTGAACAGTGATGATTATTTCTGTATCAAATATGATTTAACCTTGTAACTGCTGCAAGTGACCTAGACAGAATTTTTCCAGACAATATCAATACAATATCAGGCAGACAAGCAATGAGAATAAAGAAAAATATCAATGAGGAGATTATTAGTTGGTCCAATACCAAATTTTTTTGCACTTGTTTTGTTATGTATTAACAACAAACAGCAAACAACAACAATGAAACAACAACAATCACCAAACAACACCAATCAGCAAACAACAACAATCACCAAACAACACCAATCACCAAACAACAACAATCACCAAACAACAATCACCAAACAACAACAATCAAAATAAATAGATTTAAAAAATGACAAAAAATGACAGGGACACGGCAACAGCATAGCCAATTACAGCGGGTAGGGAGAATTATTTAATATTTAGATCTTACATACATAGGTTAATTGACCACTCCCCCATAGGGCTTTTCAGGGTCAACACCCACCCATCCCACCCCAGGGGAGGGCATCCACCACACAGTAGTCTCTTGCGTGGGAATTTAATGTCTCCTACCTGCAGGAGATGGGGCCTACGGTTTATTCATCCTTATTTGAGAAGACTAGAATAATTATCTACCCATTTCTTGTTATAGAAAGATAGCAAATTCTCCTCAGTTATTTTAAGACCATGAGTATTGGTCCAGCGTGGGCTTGAACCCTCGACCTCCCACACAACACAATCCGTCACTCTAACCAATTGAGCTATATTCTGCCTGCGATCTTGGGAGTGAATGTTTATGTTTTTGGCTAGTCACGATGAACCTGATTATTACCTAACTCTCTTACAATATTATTTTATTTGTAATAATACAGCCCAGCCCTTACAGCCTGTTTACGTGACTTAGCACACCAGGTACCACAGCTCAAGAAAAGTATTCAAGGTTTGTGCAAAATGAAAACTCAATGACAAATGTTTTAGTTTATGTGTGATACAATGGCAAGATTTTTTCCTCTGCTTATGGATATAGGTAAAATGTAATGTTTCACTTGTTTTTAGTAACTATCAACTGTTAACTGGCTACAGAAATATGTGTGCACTTTCCTCTTTTTATTTTGTTCTCAATTTTCAGATGGCCTCCTCAAAATGCTCTCTACGATCTTGATGAACAAGCCTCCGCGACATCCTGGAGCCCCAAGAAGTGCCACACCTACACTGACCCCATCAGGTTAGGCTTGGTCATTGTAGTGTTTAACTAAATGTACACAAGTATCTGAAATGGAATGCATCCATTACTCACCACACCATTTAAGACTAAGTGTTCATAGTACTTTGATATGGCTATTTCATCAAGTAACAGGCCAACTTGAATGGTATCAAGACATTTTCATGTGATACAAGCTGCTTTCACCTGTACTTCATGGAGTCCAATTTGGTCTCCGTAATCACATAATCACATAACCTCAAAGCCTGAGTTTGATTTGTAAATCACCCAATATGATTACAGACAGAATTGGATTGCACTCAGTCATATCACCAATTAAATCAAAACCATGACAAAATAAGAGAAACGAACTAGCCATTGATTATATGTTTTTGTAAATTAAAACAATTGAGTTAACCTCTACAAAATGCACAACAACAGTGCATGTAAGATGCATAGTGTCAGCAGTTACATAGGCATGGGTGCACTGTGTCCAATTATAAGCACAGTGCCCTATTAGTGCATACATCAGACTGACGATGACCAGTTAGGTTAATGAATTTTTTCATAGGTTTGATTATGATGAGAATACAATAGTGCAATGTTTATGTCACCAGTTATTAAATCGGAAAATGTATGATTCTCTCTTACTGATATTAATGTCTTTTGTACTAACTTGAATATTTTATATAATTTTATACTTTTGTTTTTTGTAGCTTCATCTCATTCACTATTTGACACTCTGGATGTGACCAGCACCGTCCTGGCTTTACGGACCTTGGGTACCTTTGATTTTGATGGTGAGAGTACATTTTAAGGAGTTATGGATAGGGCTTACAGCCATGACAAAATTGTGAATTTAGGAATGTACAGTAGTCTTGTCTATTAACAGTCATGTCAAAATTGCACAGTCATTCACAAAAACAACTTGACATGTACTTTTTGGTTGTTTTGTTAATCTACTGTTATTTCTCCGTACAGTATGACCCTGAGTGACACATCAAGGTTACGCAAATATTTACTAAAGGAAATGATCACTAACAAATTAAGCTTAGGATTTTTTAAAGAAAATAATTCATGTAATCAGCACCTTAGGAAATAATTATACGGAACACAGTTTAGAGAAATATTATATAATTATACAAAGCTAAAAAGTTTAAAAAAGGTTAAAACCAAACATTTTCAGCTGTTTGCCATCATCAGGGTGATGATGGCAAACAGCCAAAAACATTTGGTTTGAACCTTTTTTAAACTTTTTAGCCTTGTCTATATAATATTTCTTATTAAGCGAACATTATGGACAGTTTAGAGAATATGCATACATTAGGGTGTAGAAGTGTCCACATGTCCCTTGTAGTGGCTCCTGGTGCATGTATTTGTAATGTAATGTACTTACTACAGAAGAAGCATAGGTTTAGTAAAAAGTACATGGCTGAATGTACTCTTCACCTGCAGGACATCTACTGGCTCATGGGAATCTTGTGCGTCATTGTGCTGATACCTTTCTGGCAAGTGAGCACAAGGATATCCGCATGGAAGCTGTCAGAACTTGCTCCAGGCTCTTGTCACCATCTCTCCATGTAAGTGGAAACTGTAACAGTTGTTTCTACACCCAATGACAAAACAGTGGAAATGGTTCTTTTAACAAAATTTTCTGCAATTGAGTTATTGAGATTAAAACTTTCGTCTCAAATTGTTGCTAACAAGAAGAAACACCATGATACTACAGATAATTCCAACACAAGGTAAACTGATGCCATTCATCAAATTTTCTTGAAAGTGTTTATAAACCTGAATATTCATGTAATTTCATTCTGTCTTTAGTATCAGAAAAGTTAGGGAATGGCTTCATTTGAGCCCAAGTCCTGTTTAAAATGAAAATGTTTGCATGCACTTTGTCCTTCGCGATTGTTTTACATCCAAGAATTAAATAGTTTCCTCAAAACGGCAGATTGAGAACCTCAAAACTTCTTGGAGCATCTTGAGCCTCGATTCTCAATCCTAGATTCTTGATAGTTTTGACAGTCAAAGATTGAGTTTCCAGTAGTCAAGACTGTCAACTTATTTTTGAGGGGTACTGCAAGTGCAGTATGATTGTTATTGAGCCTGATCTGCATGCTTGTTTTGCAGCCGATGGTTATGCCACATGCTCCTCTTCATCATGCCAACATCAGTGCTAGCTCAACACAAGTTGTGTCTGAGGTGTTGTCTAAGATGTTGATGGTGGGAATAACTGATCCAGGTGTGCACTGGATATCTTTTTTTCAATGGTACCTACACTGTAGGACGGGTGCTTTTTTGCTGCTTGTCGACAGTCATCCACATGACTTTGCACAGTTGTGCGGATATAAATTGCTTTGAATTGAGGGATTTGTTGGTTTTGACGTTCTTTGTTGCAGTCTCTGCCAGATGATAGGTACATATACCTTAGGGTTGTCATGTGGGGCTGTATATGGTGGCAGAAACCTGCTGGCTGTTAGATCATTTTGGACTTAGTCTAGTTACTTTGTGACATGTGGTCAAAGACAGAATCATCATTTTAAACTGATTCTAATGTTAACGTCTGGCTTAAAAAAACTTACTCAAATATGTCCCAGGGTGCTATCTCAGAGAGTTGGAAATTTCAAATTTTTACCTGGCAGCATGCCTCTGGACCCACAAGAAGGGTGTGTTGTAAAGCGACACATCTTGCTCTGTATATAGAAATATTTCATTTCCACTGCCTTCTCAGTTCACATCATACATAGTCTGTTACATTTTCTAATGACAATTTGTCCATATATATACATGTAATGTAATAAAAAAAATTATGCAGGGTGTAGGTTTTAATCTGTATTATTGTATGTGTACATAATTTTTTTGTAACTGTTTTGGTTGTAGACTCAGACATTCGTTATTGTGTGTTGTCATCCTTGGATGAGAGATTTGATGCACACCTAGCCCAGGCAGAGAACTTATCAGCTTTGTTTGTGGCTCTAAATGATGAGGTAGGTTTTATTGAAACAATAGCCTATAAGTTAGGGTAATTTACAACAGTGCACTGTGAGCATGTGTAGTTCAATGGGTTTTTTGTATGTTGATTGATGTACTAGTTCTAATTTTTGTTTAGGATGTTATGAAGTTTAATATTGTATTGTCATTTGTGACATGATTTATTCATATTTTTTTTTTTTATTAACAGGAGTTTGAAATTCGTGAACATGCCATCTGTACAATTGGGAGGCTAAGCAATTTGAATCCAGCTTACATAATGCCATCACTAAGGAAAACTCTTATTCAGGTACAGTAGTTATTAATAGTTTTTTTTTTTTTTTTTCAGTAACCAGTAGTTGTTGGGATCAAAGTGCTGATTAATTTTATTGATATTTCTGTATTCTATAGAATAGTTACAAAATATTGTTACCCTCCTCATTGTATATAATTCTGTACATTTTCATTAGACTCTTGAAGATATTGTTTTTGCTTAATAAGACAAAGTTTCCTTTTTAACATAATTATTATTCTGTACATGTTCCTGAATTGATAACATATTAGGGTTCTTGCCTTCTGTGAAAACGAAGCACACTGTATCTGTGGAGTCATCACTTACTTTGAGACTTCCTTGCCTGCATAATTTGATTAACTGCACAAATTGCACTACTTTGCATCTGTATTGAATTGATGTGTCAAGAGGTTTGAATGCATGGTTGCACAAGTTACTGTTTGAATAGTATCCTGTATGAGCAGGCAAGAAATGGAATTATACAACAACAAACATATGAAACATGTGTGAACTGCGGTTATGAGACGTATATGAGCACGATCCTTGGCAGTAAAGCACTATTTGAGCAATAGTGAAAATCAGACCTGAAAAAAAAATTTCAGGCCTGATTTTCACTATTGCTCAAATAGTGCTTTACTGCGAAGGATCGTGCTCATATACGTAAATGGAATTATGTTTAACAGGAATTTGTTAGTGTATGTTTTTCCCATTTGTTAGAGTATGTTTTTCCCAGAAGGCCGCAAATTTAGATTGCTAATTATTTGACTGCTTACTATTCAAATGTATTAGATAGTTTCAACTGTCAGATATGATTGTGACAGATGACAATTTTGTTCTGTGGTTTATTGTTCATTGTAGATATTGACCGAGCTAGAATACAGTGGAGTGGGACGCAACAAGGAACAGAGTGCTCGTATGCTGGGTCATTTAGTATCCAATGCACCAAGACTGATCAGGCCTTACATGGAACCAATACTCAAGGTCAGAATGTGTGGCAATCTGTACTGGGAATGTTGAAAATATGTGAACTTACACAATTTTGAATGAAATAAATTTCGTTTGACCTGCAGATGAAAATGAAGCAAAGAAGGATTATTTTCCATTTTTAAACAATGATTATTGGAGGTTGTCATGTATTCGGTTTTTAGATTTATTGTCAAAAGCACATGGAATACATAATGCGCACACGTGCGCATGCTTACGAGGACCAACCGCATACACTACAACACCTCCCCTGTAAGCCAGTCTCTTGTCCCCCTAAAGTCCTTAAGAATTTAAAAGTTTCCAAAAGTTCAACGCAACATGCTATCAGTAGAAATCCAGTCTCAAACTCCCCCCCCCTCAAAAAAAAGGGTAGTTCAATGTTCACAGATCCATCTGAACTGGGGGTTGCCGCACTCTGGAAGGGTATCGTTTCACAGGAACATGTTCAATCTGGGTCGGTGAGCTGCTAGCGGACGATTCAGCCACTGGATTGCATTTGGGTGACGGGCAGTCTGTCTCCCTCGAGACAACTTCTGTCTGTTCAGGTAGTTCAGCTACTGGGTGATCAGTGGTCGTGGCTGGGAGTGGAAAAGGCAAGGGGTATGAAACTGGCGGGTGTCTGTCTGTAACAGGAACATTGGAATCTCGGAGTTGATCCGTGTGTCGACGCCAAACTAGGTTAGGCCCAATCTCCACTTCATAAGACAGGGGTCCCAATCGTGCACGTACAATACCGGGTACCCACTTTGACTTTCCAGTGTAATTTCGTGCTATCACCCTCTGACCAATGGCAAAATGCCTTGTTACAGAACCACTCTTGGCAACAGACTGGTCTATCTGACGGTTGTTTACCTGGATGAAGAGATCTGGTTTTAACAAGTCCAGTCGAGTGCGTAATCTTCTTCCCAAAAACAACTGGGACGGTGGCTCTCCGGTGGTTGAGTGGGGGGTGATTCTATAAGTTAGCAAAAATCTCGCCAACTTAATGTTCAAAGATGTCACTTCAGTTTCACTCTTCATGGCATTCTTGAAACTCTGGACAGCACGTTCTGCTAGGCCGTTGGTGGCAGGGTGATAAGGTGCTGAGGTGATGTGTTTGATGCCGTTTCTCTTAAGGAATTGCTGGAACTCTTCTGATGTGAACTGAGGCCCATTATCACTCACTAACTGGGCTGGTACGCCATATCTTGCAAACAACTTCTGAAGGGTTTCAATGGTTTTCGCTGAAGTTGTAGTGTTCATTTTCTCTATCTCTAGCCAACGTGAATGTGCATCCACTACCACTAAAAACATGCTGTTAAGGAA